CACCCCAAAATTCGGACAGAATTTACTCCTTATCAACACTAATTTATTAGTTCATTCCAAGCCAACTTTAAACATGTTTTAGTTTACTTAAATTTAGTCCAAGTTCAATCCAACCCATCAACACATACTTGGACATTTTTCAAAACATCATAACATCATAAATCATCACAACAAGGTATCCATACATAGATTTATCCCAAGCATCAAGCATATAACCATTGAAAATTATTACAACCCATGAAATAAACACTAACAAAATAACTTTAAAAAACTAATTTAAGACATTAATCAGCAAAAAAAATCAAACCTACTTACCTCTTTTAGGTTTGATTAGAATTTCCTTAGCTCTTTTTCTTTCCTTTTTCCCCTTCTCTTTCTCTTTTCTTTCTTGCTCTCTTTTTGTCGTTTTTCTCTCTTCAATTTGGCTTCTCTTTTAATTCCGGATGGCTATGGTTTTTGGCCTAAAAATGGTAGCCATTTAACCCTCTCTTTCCCTTATATACCCACATTTTATCATCTCATTTATTTATATCATAAGTGTTAAAATTTAACTAGGCCAAATGTAAAGTGGAGGAAGCTTGGAAGGCAAAGTCGACATGTTTTGGAAGTCAAAGGTGATGATTTGGCTTCCAAGCATTTAATTCAAGTGCTTAGGTGGCTAAAGAAAATTTAGGCTAAATAAACAAATTAATAAGCTAGGTTCATGTAATTAGAAATAATTTATTTCATAAAAAATTCGAAAATTTCCATTTTTAAAATTCAGAATTTCTTTTTTTCTAAATTTTTAGCAGTTTTATCTCCTAACCTATCTATACTAAAATGTGCATAACGCTTTCTATATGTATCCAAAAATTATGAAATTTTATAGAGAGCTAGTACACACATAGAAAAAAACTTTTATGCTTTAGGTTTTTCTCAAAAATCAATCTAAAAGCATCAGATAAATCTCACAAGATTCGAGCGATTCTTCTCCTAAAATTCCAGCGAGAATGCATTTCAAAACACCCTCACTATAATTGGTATAACTCTTAATGTATAGGTCCAACTATTATCAACTTTTATACAGGTCTATTCAACATATATATGAACAACTTTCATTCTTTAAAGTTAACCCAAAAAGTACCCTAAAGGCCTCAAATAATTCACACAAAACTCGAGCGAGAATATAGACTTTAAAACACCGATTTTGCATATTTGAATTCTTTAATAAGTAAACCATTAATCTTAAGTACAATAACTTTAATTTAATATAAATCATATATTTCAGGCATTGATTTCTCATGATGAAATGAGAATTATACTTACTCTTAATAGACATATATATAGAATTATTCTAATACACGTCGCGTTACGGATAAGGGTTTTTACGGGGGTTACAGGTAGGGCAGGTCGGGATGGTATAGCGTGAATTTCAATATTATAAGTATGTTAGATAATTAATACATATACTAAAAAAAATAGAATTTCAATAAGCTAATCTTTTTATATATATATATATATATATATAAGTATGTTAGATAATTAATAAATATACTAAAATAAAATAGACTTTCAATATAGCTAAGCCTTTTTTTTTTTTTTTAACTTTTAGTGATTTTTTTAGTTCCTATTTTGTAATCTTATTTTTATATATTTTAGTTATTAAATTTTTATCATATATATTTTATTTTTATTCCTATAAGGAACTCTTTCTTGGCTTTTGATGAAACTTTTTGTTGTGTTTTGGTTCTTATTTTGTGATTTTTCCTTTATATTTTTATCATATTTCATTTTTAACCCTCCAAAAAAAATATTTTTTTAGCTTTTAGTAAAACTTTTTGTTTTTTGTTTTTTTCTCGTCCTTATTTTGTGATCTTTTCTTTATTTTGGTAATTGAAATTTTATCATAGTTGATTTTTATTCTTACTACACTAAAACCAAATACATTTTCATTATCTTAAGTATTTTTTTTTTTAATGAAAATTTTCTTTCTATTTTGGTTTTTGTTTTGTAAATGTTTCATTGTTATAGATATGGCGAGTTGGGATGGTACAGACGTGAATTTCAATCCAATAGGTATGTTAGCAAATTAATAAATATACTAAAATAAAATAGACTTTCACTATAACTAAGCTTCTTTTTTTCTTTTAGTGATTTTTTCAGTTCTTGTTTTGTAATCTTATTTTTATATATTTTAGTTATTGAAATTTTATCATATTTGATTTTTATTCTTGTAAGGAAATCTTTTTAAGCTTTTAGTGAAACGTTTTGGTTCTGTTTTGGTTCTTATTTTGTGCCTTTTCTTTTACAATTTTATCATATTTGATTTTTATCCCTCCAAAAAATATTTTTTTTAGGTTTTAGTAAAACTTGTCGTTCCGTTTTGATCCTTATTTTACAATCTTTTCTTTACTTTGGTAACTGAAATTTTATTATATTTTATTTTTATTCTTACTATACTAAAACCAAATACATTTTCATTATCTTAAGTCTTTTTTTTAAAAAAAAAAATGAAATTCTTCTTTCTATTTTGATTTTTGTTTTGTAAATTTTTCTTCGTTATAAATAGGGTGGGGTTGGACGGTAGAGTGTGAATTTCAATATTAGAAGTATGTTTACAAATTAATAAATATACTATACTAAAATAGACTTTCACTATAGCTAAGCTCTTTTTTGACTTCTAGCAAATTTGTTTTTAGTTCTTGTTTTGTAATCTTATTTTTATATATTTTAGTTTTTGGAGTTTTATCATATTTGATTTTTATTTCGTAAGGAACTCATTTGGCTTTTAATGAAACTTTTCGTTCTATTTTGATTCTTATTTATGATTTTTCCTTTATTTTAATAATTGAAGTTTTATCATATTTGATTTTTATCCTTACTATATTAAAACCAAATACAGCTTTCATTATCTTAAGTTTTTTTTTTTATTGAAACTTTTTTTCCTATTTGATTCTTGTTTTGTAATTTTTTTTCTTTATTACAAGTAAGGTGGGTGGGAGTGGTAGGGCATGAATTTCAATATTATAAGAATGTCAACAAATTAATAAATATACTAAAATAAAATAAACTTTTACTATAACTAAGCTCTTTTTTGGCTTTTAGTGATTTTTTTGTCTGTTTTGGTCCCTACTTGGTAATCTTTTATTTTTATTTCAGTTATTGAGGTTTTATCATATTTGAATTTTATCCCTATAAAGAACCATTTTTGAGCTTTTAGTGAAACCTTTTGTTCTGTTTTGACCCTTATTTTGTGATTTTTTTCTTCATTTTGGTATTTGAAGTTTTATCATGTTCGATGTTTTTTTTTTTTTGAATATTTTTGGTTCCCGTTTGTAATTTTTCTTTCTTATAGGTAGGGTGGTGTGGGGTGTTAAGGCGTGAATGTAAATATTATAAGTATGTCAACAAATTAATAAATATATTAAAATAAAATAGACTTTCACTATAGCTAAGCTCTTTTCTCGCTTTTCGTGATTTTTTTTAGTCCCTATTTTGTAATTTTTTTTTTGTTATTGAAGTTTTATAATAGTTGATTTTATCCCTATAAAGAACACTTTTTTAGCTTTTAGGAATTTTGTTTTCCTTATTTTGTGATCTTTTATTTATTTTGGTAATTGAAGTTTTATTATATTTAATTTTTATCCTTGCTACACTAAAACCAAATACATTTTCACTATCCTAATATTTTTTTTTTTTTTTTGGTTTTTAGCAAAACTTTTCTTTTTCATTGGGTTTCTATTTTGTAATTTTTTTTTTATAGGTGGGGTGGGTTATGAATTTCAAAATTATATGTTAGTATCATGATCTCCCAAAATAAGCTATGATCGATGTGAGAATTGAGAGAGTCGTGGGATCCACTTCTATTCAAGCAAGCCTTAGATATCTAAATCATAGCTATCGAGCCTATAGAAATCTAAATATACATCCAATTCACAATATCACAACTTAATTGGTCAATACTTCTTAATTCTAACAAAAACTATAATTTCATAATAATTAAACATATCTAAAATAATAATCATAATCGGTAACCTAATACAACTCTCACAATGCAAAGTTTTAGAATGTACAATAATATCAAAATACAAGTTCAAAATATTACAAATAAGTGACCTATAAGAACAATGTGTCGACTTCAAAACAAACAACTTTGAAAAATCAACAGGCAATATCACAAACCTTGCAAAACTAAAATGGTGGGATGTGAGCAAAACAACGGCTTAATGGGTAGATAATATATAACATAACTAAGGAAGAAAAATAAACTAACGAACAATAATTTAAAATCTGCTCAAGATGCAATGCATATTTCTCAAAATCAAATAAAAATATGAGAATATAATTTATCGAAAGACTCAAATTGAGGATCTTTAACTAGACTCTTACTCTCACAACTAATTTTAGATAATTACCCCGACAACTATATCTTAAATTCATTCTACAATCTTTCTCCAATATACCAATTTATACTTTATTACAATCAATTATCCATTATTAATTTTTAATTTAATTTTCACACAACTTATCTCTACAATCTATCATCAATTTTTAATTTATTTTTTCCCACAACTTACCTTTATAATTCATCATCTCAACCAACTTGGATATTTTTCATACCTATAGTCCAATAATCAATTTCACACCATCCTTATCTCATTTCAAGCATCAATTAGCATAAATAAATGTTTAATCATCAAACTTCCAAATTCAATTCAAATCATAACCCTAACCTAGGTCAATTTTCATTCCAACAACAAACCCAATATAAATTAACTCAAAATAATCAATAAACACATATAAACATCTTAATATTTAGATTAAATGGAAAAAATTTCACATTTGATAAATGGGTTTTCAAATCCCAATTTCAACCCTTCAATTCCTTCAACCCTCTCAAACTTTAGTATAACTTGACGGTTTCTTGTAAACCTTCGCAAAAATTGATCATATTTGACTAATTTTTCCTCTTTTTGTTGCAAATTTTGGTTGATTTGGGATGGTTTGTGTGCCATCGCTAAATGACCCTTGCAAATCAGCCAATTTCTTATAGTGAACACAATCTTTTCGAGGAGCACAATGGTTCAAAAAAATAAATAAAAATAAAAGGGCGTCTCCTTAATTTTATTTTTGTGTTGACATAGTATTTTAATTAAATATAACAGTTCAATAATCACTCTAAAACTGAGAAAGGTTTCACAATTTAAATATTATATATATAGATGGATGGTGGCTTTGATCATCAATTTGATGATAATTTGTCTATATATAAGAGAATATAAACTGTAACCGGTGATAGTTTGATAAGTTGTATTTAAAAAATATTCATATAAACATCAGAGCATTGAACATTTTATTTTTTAAGTTATATTATTTTTTTGGAGAGCACGTAATTTTTTTTTTCAGTCAATTGATTTTTTTGTTATATGATTTATTATTATCAACTTCTCCACTATTTCTATTAATATCATCATTCCTCCCACTTATTTTATTGAGTGGTTCTTTTCTTTTTTATTTAGGTAAATTATATATGCTTAATTAATTAAAATAAAAATATACAAATTTTCAATTGATCAAATTAATAAAAGCACAGGATACAAATATTGAGTTTAGTCAAAATATTTTCTCCAGTGAGTTTTGTTGAGGATCCTAGATCAATGGGACATTCATCTATTTATGCATGTGCATTGTAAGTGTATAATCACAGACGATCGATTATTCTAATCTAGGAGATAGATTGCTACTAACTCCTTACATCATAGAAACTTTTAAGGATACATGTGATCTACTCTAAAAAACAATTAATATATATCGAAATATAAGTTAATTTTTTATGAACTTAGTAAAACATATGGAATTGTAAACCTCACAAAGAAGATCATATGGCATATCGATAAATTTTATAATACATAAAAAACAATTATTATATATATACAATAATTACTCTCTCTCTCTCTCTCTCTCTCTCTCTCTCTCTCTCTATATATATATATATATAAAACTTTTGAATCCACTAAATAAAAGAGAAAAAAATTAAATAAATATAAAAATATTTTTATTATTTTTGATAGATCTAAATATAATTCTCTTTCTTTAATTATTTTTTTAAGTGAATTCATGGCTATTATACATATATAATAATTACATTTTTTCAATTATAAAATTTGTCGATTTGCACGTCAATCTGGAGAAGAGAAGAATGCAATGCTGTCCCTTGACCAGCGCCTAAGCTTACTCGGATGGAACAGCATTGGATAAAGACTGTCAGGTCAACCTAACCTACCACGAAGACAAACTGCCACATATTAAATATACGTACGTCCTTGGGGTTGTTCTTGGAAAGCGGCCAATGCAGTGTGTAAACGACTATAACCATGTTAGAGTTCATGACTATATATAAACAATTATAATTCTTAAAATAAAGAATTCCTTGATGCAGTGTGTAACCAAAAGGATACAGAGTTTATTAGTACTCAAAAACCCTAGAAAAACGTAGTAGTAAACTATGAAAAAACTGACAGGCTTGATAATTTATGAATATTCGATAATGATGGTTAAAGGCCTACAACAACATAATAGTCTGCGCTAGTTGACTAAAAACTAAATTGAAAAATAAACTAAACTAAAAATTGGGGAATGATAATAGAATACCAAAATCAAGAAAAAAATAAATAAATTAGAAAATCTTAATTCTAAAACTAGAGCAATCTGGATCGGTTTTGCAAGTCTGGATCACCAAAAGGCGTAAAATAGAGTCTTTGAAGTGGATTTTTACCTTAAAAACTTTCTTTGATGATTCTCACAATCAACCATATTGTGGACCTCTCAATTATCTTTTTGAGTGGACAAGATTTGCATAGATCGGACATCCTGAGCAACAGTTAAGGCCCGTTAATTGAGTAGTACATGTTTGCCCTTTCATGCTGTCTTTTTAGACTTGTGTCTATCGATCTGATTCATGAATTTATCAGCTACATGCCCCCACATCATTCACGATTTTCACCTTCTGAACTCCTTTTCATCATCTCTCTTACACACACAAACCTTATAACACTTGTAACAGTCTTTTCAAACTTACATCTCTTTGCCTTTGCTAAGTTAAACATCGAGGGTCCTCAACCCTATAAAAAAAATTTGTTTTGCAGATTCTCCAATCAATCCAGCAATCACCCTTAGTTTTTTGAAAAGCCACCTCATCATAGGAGGTTTTCCACTGTCATCAAATTCCTTCTCAGTTTTTGGAAAAGCCATCTCACCTCATCATAGGAGGTTTTCCACTCTCATCAAATTCCTTCTCAATTATTAACCTTTTAATATTTTTTTAATAATATTTTGCTCTTATTATGCAGTTTAATTTTGCATCCAAACATTCATTGTTTGATATTTCGTAGGTAAATTTAATTTATGTCATTTTTGAATAAAATAATTCATTAATATGATATCAAAATTTTGATTATCAAATCAGCGAGAATTCAAATCTTATTATTTTTATTTTTTTTAATTAATTAAATATAAGATAATATATAAATGAGATGATCCGTTGACAAAGATCTCTAGAGTTTGCAGTAACGACGACGGTGGTGGAACGAAGAGGAGATAAAAGAGGAGCTGTTAATTATTGGCGATGATAGAAGGCGTTCATGGTCATGGATATAGTTGAAGTTATTAATGCGACAGTGATGATAGAATGCTGGACCATAAATACGTCTCAGTTTTTTGACAAGCCACCTCATCATAGGAGGTTTTCCACCGTCATCGAATTCCTTAGTTTTTTGAAAAGCCGTCTCACCTCATCATAGGAGGTTTTCCACCCTCATCAAATTCCTTCTCAGTGATTAGCCTTTTAATATTTTTTAATAATATTTTATTCTTATTATGCAGTTTAATTTTCCATCAAAATATTCCTTGTTTGATATTTGGTAGGCGAATTTAATTTTTGTCCTAGAGATGACAGCTGTCTAAACAGGTTTAGCTCTAAAGTTTGCAATAACAACGCCAGTGGTGGAGGGCAGAGGAGATGAGAGAGGAGTGGTTAATGATGACGATGATAGAAAGCATTCATGGTCATGGACATAGTTGAAGTTATCAATGCGGCAGTGACGATAGAATGCCGGACAATAAATATATATGTCTAGATATGCTCTACCACGGGAGATTTTTTTTTTTTTTTTTTCTTCACATCACAACAACACATTGTTCTTTCCAACTACTTATGAGGACATACAATCATCATATAATACCATATACGTTTCCCTTTCATCTACGAACGATTATTGTGGTTGCTCGTAAGGTGTATGCAGGGTCGATTTTATAATATATGTTACTCTAGATAATATAATATTTTAAAGAATTTTTTATAAAATAAATAAATATTAAATATTATTTAAATATTATTTTATTTTTTTTACTTTCCGAGATGTACAATTTTTAATTAAATTTTTATATTCAATTTTACAAAGTAAATCTTTTTCAATTGATAATATAACCAAATTACTTAATCTTTCTTGTGACATAGTTGAACGTAAATAAGATTTTATTAATTTTAATTTTGAAAAACTTATTTCAGATCGAAGCTAAAGTAACATGGATAGTTAATAGTATTCTATATGCTATCCATGCATTTGGAAAATAATTTACCTTTTTTTATAAAATTTAGTATGGCAAGTGGTGTTTTCATTTCCATAGTTATAATTTCTTTTAAAACTTTTAATTCTGAAAATAAATCTAAACCATCAATATCGAAAGCATATCGTGCTTTAGAAAGTTTTCAAGATTTAAACATTTTTTTTCAAAATATCATCATCAAGTGATTTTAATTTTTCTACACTATAAAGAAAACCAAAATTATCTTCATATATTTTAAATTGTTCAAACCTATTTTGAAGAGAGAAAATCGCATGATCAACTAAATATGTAAAATAACTAATTCTAAAAGATTCTTCAACGGATAATTTCATGTCTTCATTTTTAATCTCATCAAATTGTTTCTTTCTTCTTATTGTACGCTTTTCACAAAATTTTGGTTCTATATTCATTTGCTCTGTAATTTTCTTAGCCAAGATCATAAAAGATGTAAACTCATTTTCTCCATAGCTTTTAAAAAAAGAAATAAGACCTTTCAAATGGTCTATTGCAAGAGCAATATCAATATCTTTAGATTGTAAATATTTACTAACCGTATTAATAGCAAACAACATATCATACCAACTAATCATGCCTAATAGAAATTCAAAAATTTCAATCTCATATGTTGCTAAAGAAATGGTTTCACTTTTTGTTTTAGGATCCTCAATAGTTTCGCTAATTGATATAAAGCATCTCTTATTTGTTGAGCTTGAAATCTTATTGCTTTAACACTTTCAATACAACTTGCCCAACGTGTTTGTGATAATGGCTTAAGTGTAAAATTAGAAACATGATCTTATAAATTTTTTCATCTTTTTGTAGAAGAAGAAAATAATGAATATATGCGTTGTGTCACTCCAAAAATTTCATAGCACTAGCACATGAATTAGCCACATCACAAAGAACTAAATTAAGATTATGACAACCACATGGTATATAAAACATCTCTAGAATTTATATCTAATAATCTTTTTTGTACACCTTGATGTTTACCTTTCATATTGGACCCATTATCATATCCTTGCCCTCTCACATCATTTACATCAAGTTCAAGAGTTTTTATCTTACTTGTAAGTTCATTAAAAAGACCTTCACTAGAGGTATCATCCACTTTTAAAAAATATATAAAATACCTTCTATTTTTATTAGAATTATCAAAATATCTACACATCTTAATATAAGTGACATCTCGTTCTTGATGACTTGCATCCGGAGTACAATAAAGTATAACTGAAAAATATTTTGATTCTTTGATTTTTCCGATAATGGTATTTCTTATTTCAAATGCTAAAATATTTATCAACTCATTTTGTACATTATGACCAAGATAATGCATATGAATATCTCCATTTTGAATATGTTTAAGGTGTTCTTGCATTATTGGATCAAACTCGATAATCATTTTAATTAAACTCAAAAACTTTCCATTATTATCCTCATAAATCTTCTCATTTGTACTACGAAATGCCAAATTATTTTTTGAAAGAGCTTTCACAACAGCAATAATTCTTAATAATACATTCCTCCAATGCTCTTACTCTTTATTTATTTTCTCTTGTAAATGCTTATCAATTGTTTTGTTTTTAAGCAATCTCATCCGAGCATCAACCCAAACGTTCATATTAATAGCATGTTCATTACTTGTCTCATGACTTTTAAGTTTGGCACTAAGATTTTTTCAATCTCCACACCCTTCATTTGCTAATTGAATATTTGATTTTAAACTAAATAATTTACAACAATAATAAAACACTTTATCTAACTCTTTTGAATATACTAGTCATTTTCTATCATATTTTTCTCCGTTTGGTAATTTTCAAATGTAATGAACTATAAAAAAATGTCTAGAATTTTTATCTCTTGGAAAATCTAAAATTTCTCCAATTGAACCTTTCTCAACTAATAAATCAATCGAGTTTTGAGTTTAAATTTTTTCATTGTGCCGGATCGTAAATATTTTTAATTATTGTTGCATCTTCATCATTATATTTTCAGTTTTATTGATTGAAACATCATCTTCTAAATTTTCATCATATTCTTCATTACTTTTTGGTGAATTTGAATCGTTATCTTTAAATTTTTCTTCACAATTTTCAACTATATTTTCATTTAAATCTTTATCTTGTTCTTCTAGTATTTGGGGTTTAATATTAGTAACAAATCTATCAAGTGTACCTTTTGGGATTGAATTAGTTCTTCTACCTTTCTTTTTTCTTACGCTTTTCATATCCAGATTCATATTTTCTAGTAGACATTTTATTCAAATAATAAAATTAAAATATAATTATAAAAAAAGTAAGAAACTTTGGCACTCGATTATATTTGCTTGCCACACCTAATCAAGTAAATCTAAAGAGAATCACTCGAGAAAATAAAAAGAAATTTGAGAAAAAATAAAATATTATATGATTTATATACATAATTTTATTTGCATAAATTAAAAAATTACCTTCGATTCTTATGCCAAGCTAATTAGAAAAGGTTTTATAAGAGATCTCTCGGTTTTTTTGAGAAAGAAAGGAATATAATAACAAAATTTGGAGATCTAAAAATTATTTTACTCACAAATATTTTTCTAAAACTTTTCCGTAAGTAAAAGTGTCTCACTAAAATAAAAATTGAAAGCTTTTATAAGTAGAAGGTAACTGGAAAGACATCTAGAAAAGATATAATTTTTAACGTTGAAATAATAATATCTTTGAACAATGGGAGCCTTTCAATGCGGGAACTCTAATACCTATGACCTGAAGTAGAGAGAAGAATGATGTCTCATATTTAGGTAGAGGCTACACCTTTAAATTTATCTCATTCTTCATGGGTGTAGATTTAGAGTAAAATTTTAATTGGAGCCCCCTTTTCTATAGGGGCCTTAGGCATAGGCCTTAATGGCTATGCCTTGAGCCAAGCATCGGTTGCATGATGCAAGTGTTATGCATATCAACTTTCTCATCTCCTCTTTATATTTCTTGCCGGACCGTTTGCCAAGCAAACTCGCATACCTGCACAAGCAAAAAATGTTGATCGATTACTTATTTTTTGTTTATCATAATTTGTATTATTTGTGAGAAATATTCCAATAGCGTGGCCCATGTGTCATGAATTTTATTAAAATCTATAAGTGACAATTTAAAACTTAGAGCCCGATAAATTCTAGTGGTGGGCTAGGCACGTCCATAATGGATGGAGGTGCAAAATTAGGTTAAAGAAAGGGTCCCCGATAGATTTCTGCTACACTTATATGCTTAGGCATATTTAATTATTTTACATATGGTATCGAAGCCTCCTTCTTGCTATATTGATTAGTGTTAATAAAAATTCATTAATCATATTTATTGAGAATATACCGTGATTTTTATAAAAAAAATCATATACTCTTGTATGGTTATTTAATTGAAATCTTTAAATCAAAGGTGTGTGTAGATGTGTGTGTGTGTATAGCACACGGATGTAGATGCACAACAAGCACAAAGGATAAATTTTTGTAAAAAAATAAAATAAAATCATGTCCTTGTGTACTTTCATAGTACACGTGCTCCCATTTTAATTTCAAACAAAATTTTCTTTCAATCACCCTTCTGGTGCGAATCTATGCCTAGTTTATGTATATATATATATATATAAGACATGAATTGAAGATTGCTAGGAAGTTTACAATTCAAATTAGACTTTTTCCAAGATCTAATTGTTTTCATGCAACTTTATGGTACTTTCTTGGAATATAAAAACTAAAAAATATCAAGATGGGTTATTATCCGAAAGAAGTCTATATGATGCATATTTGTCGACTTCAAAATAATTATGCATATACGAGTGTATATTTTGCATAAGCTCAATTGTTTGCAACCAAACAATTTTTTATTTTTATTTTTATGCATATATTATCGACTTTGTTGGCATAAATTATATTCCAAAAAATTGCTAAATATAATAATAATAAATAATGAAATGATTTACCTTATTATTTTGATATGTCAATGTAGACTTATGAGTTGATATTAACGCATGCTACATTACGATGGTGATGTCAATTGACTAACATTAATTGATGGTTTATATAAAATTGATCTAGACCCCACTTTTGAGCTCAATTATTTATCAATGCATGTTAATACGAGTATTAAAATGAGTAAAATTGATGAGAATTCCTCCACATTGTGGCATAGGAGATTAGGTCACATCTCCATTGAAAGAATTAAAAGATTAGTGAATGATGGAGTTTTAAACGCTCTTGATTTTACTGATTTTGGTACTTGTGTGGATTGCATAAAGGGAAAGCAAACTAACAAGACCACTAAAGGTGTCACAAGGAGCTCGAAATTGTAGAAATCATACACACCGACATATGTGGACCGTTTAATACTCCTTGCCTAAATGGTAAGCCTAAATGGTCAAAGATATTTTATCTCATTCATTGATAACCATTCTAGATTTATGTATCTTTATCTTTTACA